TAGGCGAGGCTTCTTCTGACTGTGTGCTCACCCCTGGGGTCTGCTCCTCCATGCAAAGCTGACTTAAAAACGTCACCCAGGTCTGTCCTGCAGAGAGATCTAACGGGAAGTACAGTGTGTGGCCTGGATGCCCACCCTTTCCGGGTAAATGACTCCCGGTGGAAAAGGCCAGCAAGCCACGACCCCTGCCGGGCAGCAAGCTGGCTGAGAGGCCACCAGTCGGGGTTCAAATCCAGCCAAGCCACCTTGCACCAGGCCCTCTGAGTGCTCAGCCGCTCCTCCACAGGGGCTGGCCAGGCTGTGGGGTCCAGGGACAGTCACGTGGGGGCCTACGAGCTGTTTTTATCTGTGAAGAAAGCCCAGGAGAATATGACTCTGCTCCCTACGGCCGCCCAGACTCTGCCACTTGCTAGTCTCATTCCCTGAAGAGCCCCTTGTTGTTAGTTACGGGGTCCCTCGTGACCTGCTGAGAGCCCATGCTGTGGCTAAGAGACCTGGAGACCACGGCCTTCCCGAGGGGACCGTGGCCTGGGCCCCAAAGGTCACCAGCATCCTGGGGTTCTGCTGGCACCTGTGCTCTGGGACTCTGCCCAGCCACTCCCTGCTGCCGAGCTCCTGCCGGGTGGGAAAGCCTCCGCTTCCCAGGGCTCTCCAAGTCCTTCTGATCCCCTCTTAACAGGTCACCCTGCCTGGCTGCCAGAAGTTAATCTGGACGGCGCTCCTGCCTGCTGGGCCTGGGCCTGGCTGTCACTGTGGCTGGGCCCGTCCCTGCCCTCCACCCCTTCTTAGAGCCCTCAGTATCTTCCCATGTGGAAGATGTCTGGGCCTGGCAGTCTGTCTGGGATCTCTGCAGAGAAACCCAGAGAGCCAGAGGCCACACAGTGACAGCCAGCAGGCACAGAAGGAGCGTGGTAGCAGGCAGGGGCTCAGGAAGGAGAGTCTGGGTCAAGGGAAGTGGGTAGATTGATTAGTGATGCCTGCCACAGGCAACAGGCCTTGGGGGTGGGGTATGTGTGCCATGTCTGTGGTCTCTTTAAGAGCCACAGACACCAGCAATGGCCCAGGGCCTGGGAGCAGGGCAGGACTGGAAGGGGACATAGTGTGACCCCCTGTATTGGCAGGCAGGATGGGACATGGCAACCAGCCACAACCCTCACAGTGTCACCCTCAGGCTTTAGAGGAAGAAAGCTCTCATGCAGTGGAATGTGACCAATGCCCACATGCCACACACGCCTGTGCAGCCAGAGGGGTGAGAAACAGTCCTCCAGTGCTCAGGGTCCCACGGCCTGTGCTCAAAGCCAGCTATGTCACCCTGAGAGAGGGGTGTGGCCTCCCAGGCTCAGTTTCCCCATCTGTAAAAGGAGACAGCAGGACGAACAAGCCCATCCTTGTGCAGCGAGGCTTCAAGCAGGTGACCACGGAGCAGCAGGGCAGATGGCAGCCTGGGAGCAGGAGGCCTGAGGCTGGGCCACCATGCTGCTGTCTGCCCAGGGCTGGGCACTCTGGGCTCAGGCTGGGCTGGAGGAAGCCCAGGTGCAGTCTAGGGTCTGGGTCACAGCACAGGACCAGGGTGGAAGTTCCTGCCAGGTCCCTGCCTGGGGTGGCCCAGGAGAAGGGCAGGGCCAGGCCTGACTGCCCTGTGTCAGAGCCCCAGGCTTGCTTTCCAGGGACCTTGGCCTCCCTGCCCTGAGAATGGTGGCCCTGGCCGGGCCCGTCCCTGCAGGCCCGAAGGTGCTGCTCCACACAGGTGCTCCACGAGCCGGGGTCCCCCGAAGCCTGGCTGGAAGGGGGGTGGCCAGTGCTGGCTCCTGCCAGGCTCCCCTCTTCCTGCTTCATGACCTACGGGACCCTGGATCCTCATGGCAACCCCATAAGCAAGCTGCTGTGACAGCCCAGGCTTTACAGATTGGGAAACTGAGGCCCACAGCGCAGCCAGAACAGTACAATCACCCACACCCCTCCATCCTTTCCAGGAGCGACTGTGGTGCCCCCAAGAGTGACCCCGAGGCTGTACGCAGGGCACAGCCCAGGACTCGGCATGGGTCCTCCCATCACGCAGGGCAGTCTCCACAGGGCGGACTCCAGGGCCAAGTGGGAGCAGCAGGGAGCCTCTACAGCCAAGATGTTTACACCCATGAGGTCCCAGGGGCCCAGCCACCCCAGCTAAACAGGCGCCCCTGGGAGCTGTGGCGAGGCCTCCGAGTGGCTGTACCACCACCCACCTGGCCCCCTCCCACTCAGACCCCACAACTCCTCCGGCTCCTCGGCCAATGCCAGCTGCGGCAGGAGAAGCAGAGCTGCCAGGAAGACAGGCAGGGGACAGCCAGGACCCCAGGCAAGTGACAAGTACTCCTGGCACGCGCACACACACACACACACACACACACACACACACACACACACACCTGCCCGCCCCACAACATGTACAGCACAGAATCTACTTGGGAAGGGGAGGTAAGGGGAGAGAACTCTCAGGGCTGTGCTCAGTGGCCAGGGAGCTCGCAGCCCCAGAAAATTCGGAGTCCTCTCAAGTCCTGAACCTCAGCCAACAGAACTCAGCGCTGGACGCTGGGCGTGTGAGGTGGCGCGCACCTGTAATCCCAGCACTGGAGAGGCTGAGGCAGGAGGGTCCCAGGATGAGCTATAAAGTGAGTCTAGGCCCAGCCCAATCTACATAGTGAGATCTTATCACAAAGAGATCAAAACAAACCAACAACCACATAGCCTGGGGATCAGATGGGCAAAACACCACACAGACATTTTCTTTATATTCTGCCTCGTTTCACAAGGCACCCTGCGGTCAGCGCTCTGTGTCAGCCTTGCTTCCTTCCTGCCCTGCTGGGGGCCTTTTCAGACGATCCCCTACCTGCCCGCTTCCTCTGAAACCAGCGTTAACCAGCACCATTGTGCCGAGCAGGGCTGTCCTGCGCTGCAGTAATTGAGGGTCGGTGAGCTCCAACACCAGGCCCTGGCCCCTGCTGAGGGGAGGCACTGCCCTGTTGGGCACCTGCCTACACCCTAAGACTGAACAGGGGGCACCGCCATCACAGAGGCCGGCAGGACGCATTCTGTCCATGGGCCACCACCACTCACACAAACACACGCTAGCATGGGGCATCCAGTGACAAAGCCATTCAGAGTCTACGTGGACAGTCTGATCTCGGAGGGAAACATGGTTTGACGGAGGAGGAGGCCAGGCAGCCCCAGGGGTGTGGACTGCTGGAGTCAGGTAGTCTAGCTGCTGTGCAGCCACGGGAAGGTCCCTCAACCTCTCTGAGCTTGGTTCCTTTGTTTGCTGAATGACAACGAACCAGAAAGCTCCTAGCCATGTCTGACACATTGAGGACACACAGTAACTGAGTCTGGATGAAAAATCCCACTGCCGGAATCTGCCCCGACAGGGGCACTAAGCCATAGAGCCAGAACTTGAACCTGGGTCTCGCAGTCCACTTGTTAGCCGGTGGTACCTCCAAAACCACTCAGCACTTCCTCACCTCTTGAAAAGGAGGGGGGGGGGCTCATGTGACTCACCAGGCCACGTGGCCAGGGCCACAGCACAGATGTCAAGTGGCAGGTGCTGGAACACCACTGCCACCTGGTGGCGGCATATCTAAACTACGGGGGTGGCAACTGCACGCACACGCACGTACACACATGCACGTGCACGTGCGCGTGCTCGCACACAGAGCTCGCGGTCCTACAGAGGAAAGCGCTCTGCCTGGCAAGTGCCTGTTATCTGCTGGGTGCTTTTCTTTATATCTTAGACGAACTCACTATGCAGCCCAGGCTGGCCTTGAATTCACAGCAATCCTCCTGCCTCTGCCTCCCGAGTGCTAGGATTACAGGTGTGTTAAATCATACCCGGCAGTTCATACTTTAAAGACAGCTTTCTTGCCTGGGGATGTAGCTCAGTGGCACAAATGCCTGCCTGGCAAGCACGAGGTCGTGAGTTCGATCCCCGGGACCAAAACAAACAAAAAGCTTTCACTGCTGATACGGATCTTGGCACATTTGGAAGAAGTGTTTCCCTAACCTGTCACCACGGCCTTGTGTCCCAAGTACATCCTGCCCTGTCCCTGGCTAAGAAAAACAGAATGAGCTTAATATCCTGGGGACCAGATGGGTGGAGACTCCACAGGCCCCCTCTGTGCTGGAGTTCAACTCCTTGGGGCCCCAGCAGGTCTGACGCACATGGCCCACGCCGGGACCCTGGTCCCTACGCCATGGAAAGCAGTCACAGGGGACACATCCCGTGGGGAAACTGAGTTCTCAGCAGCACCTGCTGGCTCAGAGGAGATGCTTGGCACCTCTGAGCTGCCCTGGGTGCCTCCCCAGCCAGCAATGTTCAGACACCTATGGGACAGGAAGAGGACGGAGCCTAGCACAGTGGCGGGCACACAGCGGGAGCTCAGTACATGCAGTGGCATATTGGCGACTTTTTCTCAGCCTCTAAGACTTGGTGCTACAGGCACCAAGAGGGCCCACAGCTGCCAGGGAAAGGGGACAGTGTGTCCCTGGGGGACCGAAGTGGTGTCCTGGGGCCCCCCTCTGTCTTGTGCCCAGCTGTGGCAAGAGCCCGCACAGAGGCAGAGAGAAGCCCCAAGTGTGCCCCTGCCCTGCCAGCAAGCCACCTGCTGCCAGGACTGTCAGCCCAGGAGAGATAACAGCCCAGACAGCCACGGCCCCCCGGGCCACGCTGGACCATGGCTTGTTCCACATGCTGGATTAGAGCAGGGGGGACATGGGCGGGCAAGGAAAGGGGCTCAAGGTGCACCCCAATTGACATCAGAGTCTACACTGAGGCCACAGAGCGGACAGAACCTGGACTCCAGGGCTGCCCCAGGGTCTTGAAAGTGCCCTTAGATGTCTGATTCTCTTCGGCCCCCATGTAGGGCCACAGGCACCAAGTCAGCCCCGAGAACCGACACTGAGAGGCAGACAGGATGTGGAGATGCTGAGGCCTGACACCGGTGACCACGGAGCAGGCGCCCCAGACTTACCTTCCACTGCAGGGAGTGGAACCACTGGTCTCGCAGGTAGCTGTTGGCGGCCTGCAATGACAAGAACCGGAAGAGGTCTGGTCACCATGTGAGCATCACGGCACCCACAGACCACACAAGAGCCCCCACCCGACTTCTGGGGAATGGCGTCTGCCCTGGGTCCCGAGGGAGACTTCCAAGGGACGTGCTGAGTGCCGGGTGCAAAACCTAAACAGAAGTGTGAGTGGGGGGGCGTCTCTGCAACGTGGCTGGCTGTCCCTGCGCATGGGAACGAGCACTTACACCTGCTGGCTGCGCCTGCTGCACCCCGACTTGCTGGGGATCACGGGAGGGGCTGGGTCTGCTGGTCGGAAGCCTGGAGGTGAGAGCTGGGGAGCTCCCTGGGGCCTCTTTTCTCCCAGCACCTGCGTAACCTTTCTCTCCATGGCCCCCATGTTATGGTTTAGATCTAGATGTCCCCCAGGGGCCTCATGCCTTCATAGCCAGGGTTTCGGGGAGGTGACTGGAGTGGGGTCTGCTGGGAAGTGGGTCCCAGGGGGTTTGTCTCCCTTCCTGGCTCCTTCGTGCACCCTCTCTGCTTCCTGTCCACCATGCATCGAGCAGCTCTCCTCCACCCCTCTGCCCTGCTGTCCTGCCTTGGAGCCAGCTGACAGTGGATTGAAACCTCTGCGAACCATGAGCTGAAGTAAACCCCTCCTCTAAGGTATGGGTGTTGGGTGTTGTCTCTCATTAAGAAGAAAGGAGCTAGGACACGCCCCAACAGCTTGGAGGGGCTTCTGTTGCTACATTCATTTCAGGGAGGGAGCACCTGAGGCCCTGAGGTCTCACATGGAGCACCTGCAAACCCACAGCAGCCGGATTTGCGAAGCCTCTGTGTGTAACCACAGCAGTCTTCCGCTGGCTGCAAAAGGTCAGGGCAGACAGTTCCCACGCTTCGGCTCAGGGACTCTCATCCACATCAGAAATCACAGGGCGGCAAAAGCATTCTCTGGTCTGCAGCCGGCAGACTCTGACACCCCGTGCAACTCTGCCTTCACGTCCTCATCAGTGCAGTAGCCCCAGCCCTGGTCTTGCACGCATGTGTGAAGACCTGGAAGGTTTCAGAACAGCTGGACAGATGGCGGCCAGGGAGGGGGACAGAAGGCAGTTCCTGCTGCTCTTCTCATCCAGTCTTCTCCAGCAGAACGTGGCCCGAGGAGGCCATGAGCAGTGGACAGGCCACCTGCTGCCACCTCCGAGGCTCAGGAGGGGGAAAAGCTTCCTAAGGGCTCACCGTCAAGAGGTGAGGATCCAGGAGCGGCATCATCGCAGCGCCAATGGAATTGGAGGGTGCTTGTGAGAAGGAGGTGGGGGGAGGGTGTCAGAGACAGAAGCAGAGGTCAGGGATGCAGCCACGCGCCAGCCACAGGCCAAGGAAAGCCGAGCCTCTGGAGGCAGAACTGGCAAGGTTCTCCCGAGAGGCTGCAGGGGAGCCAGCCAGGCCGCCTGAGGGGTGGAACTGGGCTTGTGACCTCCATCACCACGGCCCCACCCGGCATGGGGGCAGTTTTGGGGCTCACTGTGAATCACGGGGGGAGGATGGATGGGTGTATAGATGCATGGATAGGAGAACAGATGAATGGATGAATGAATGGGTGTGTGATGGATGGGTACAGAGATGCATGGATGGGTGAATGGATGAATGGATGGGTGACTGCATGGATGGATGGGTGCTTGATAGATAGACATGATAGGCTACATGGATAGACAGATGGTTTGGATGGGTGAGTGGATAGATAAGGTGGGTGAGGGTCGGATGGATAGCTGGATGGATGCATGGATGGGTAGGTGGGTAGAGCATCGCCCTACCCATTTAGTTCAATAAACAGAAATTTCATGTGTCACAGAATTTCAAAAACACTTCAACTCTGGTAGCTTCCTTCCCCAACTTCCGGTGGACTAAGAAATAACCACAGTGGGGTTTTCTTTAACACCTATCTTTACCAGGCACGGTGCTAAGTATTTATAGAATATCTCCGACCCCTACACAGCCAGGGAGATCAGTCCCATTCACAGGTAAAGAAAGCAAGGCCCAGGAGCTTCTTCGTGCTGCCTAGGGCCAGCCACATGGTCAGGGTGTGGCAGACCTGGGCTGCAGCTCAGGGCCATCTGTCCCCGCCCTGCTCTCCCTGCTGCCCGCCTCTGGGGCCTCAGCTGCTCTGGATCCCATGCGCTGGGCTGGGAATCCGGAAGCACGATTTCCCCTTGGCACTGCCCTCTGAGACAAGTTGGCACCTGTTCCAGCCAGCAGGAGGCCCTGCTCATAAACAGGGTGGGTCAGAACTTCCCTCCCCAGGATGGGGCGGCAGCTGATGGAGCCAGAGAGGCTGCCACAAGGGCGGGCCGTAACCTGCTCCTTCCTCCAGGGGCTCCAGCCTCGGAGCACGGAGGCTGTCAGTGACATCTTGAGTCCCCGTGGACATCTCCGAGTGGCTTCCCTGCAAAGGGGAAGTACCGTGGCCGGGGGGAGAGTGTCTTTCTGTAGGGCCCCCCTCGTTTCCCTCACATCCCTGAGGGGCTGGGCACATCGGGTCCTAGAGGGTCGCAGAGAGGAGAATCTAGGGCGGCCCCCATAGCTGTCGGCCCCTGGCCTGCTCCGGCTCCCAGGGACAAATCTTTCCAACGGGAAAGGGCCTGGTTCCAGGCGAGCTCTGCCTAGTTTCCTCCTCGAAAGCTGCCAAGTTCTCTCTCATTGTTCCATTATCTAGAGAGGTGAGAAAAACAGGCCGGGGAGCACTGTACTGTGGTGACCGGTGACTGTTCCCAAGTCCCCTTCCTGGCCAGCTTCTGGGGGGGAAAAACAGCATAGCTGGGCAGACCGGAAAGGTCTTTGCCTCCAGCTTCCAGTAAGAACGGAACCCATTCTGTGCCGCCCGGCGTCTGGGGTAAACAGTGGCTGCCCCCGGGGGAGGCTTCGGGAAAAGCCAGGACTCCGAGGCTCAGGATTACTGGGAGGAACCCAAAAGGCCATCTGATGCTGTTACCAGGGCTAGCGAGAGCCCAGGTCGGGTCCACTACACCGTGTGTGTGTGTGTGTGTGTGTGTGTGTGTGTGTGTGTGTACCCTGGTACCAGCAGGTCAGGGCCACTACACCGTGTGTGTGTGTGTGTGTGTGTGTGTGTGTGTGTGTACCCTGGTACCAGCAGGTCGGGTCCACTACACCGTGTGTGTGTGTGTGTGTACCCTGGTACCAGCAGGTCGGGTCCACTACACCGTGTGTGTGTGTGTGTGTGTGTACCCTGGTACCAGCAGGTCGGGTCCACTACACCGTGTGTGTGTGTGTGTGTGTGTACCCTGGTACCAGCAGGTCGGGTCCACTACACCGTGTGTGTGTGTGTGTGTGTGTACCCTGGTACCAGCAGGTCGGGTCCACTACACCATGTGTGTGTGTGTGTGTGTGTGTGTGTACCCTGGTACCAGCAGGTCGGGTCCACTACACCGTGTGTGTGTGTGTGTGTGTGTGTGTGTGTGTGTACCCTGGTACCAGCAGGTCGGGTCCACTACACCGTGTGTGTGTGTGTGTGTGTGTACCCTGGTACCAGCAGGTCGGGTCCACTACACCGTGTGTGTGTGTGTGTGTGTGTGTGTGTGTGTGTGTGTACCCTGGTACCAGCAGGTCGGGTCCACTACACCGTGTGTGTGTGTGTGTGTGTGTGTGTACCCTGGTACCAGCAGGTCGGGTCCACTACACCGTGTGTGTGTGTGTGTGTGTGTACCCTGGTACCAGCAGGTCGGGTCCACTACACCATGTGTGTGTGTGTGTGTGTGTGTGTGTACCCTGGTACCAGCAGGTCGGGTCCACTACACCGTGTGTGTGTGTGTGTGTGTGTGTGTGTACCCTGGTACCAGCAGGTCGGGTCCACTACACCGTGTGTGTGTGTGTGTGTGTGTGTGTGTACCCTGGTACCAGCAGGTCGGGTCCACTACACCGTGTGTGTGTGTGTGTGTGTGTGTGTGTGTGTGTACCCTGGTACCAGCAGGTCGGGTCCACTACACCGTGTGTGTGTGTGTGTGTGTGTGTGTGTGTGTGTACCCTGGTACCAGCAGGTCGGGTCCACTACACCGTGTGTGTGTGTGTGTGTGTGTGTGTGTGTGTGTACCCTGGTACCAGCAGGTCGGGTCCACTACACCGTGTGTGTGTGTGTGTGTGTGTGTGTGTGTGTGTACCCTGGTACCAGCAGGTCGGGTCCACTACACTGTGTGTGTGTGTGTGTGTGTGTGTGTGTGTGTGTGTACACCCTGGTACCAGCAGGCCTTGCCACTGTGAAATGTTGACAGAGGGGACTGGGAAGAAAGACGACAAACAGGTCCCTTCTGCGGCCAGGGTTCCAGTGACCCGGCACTGGAACACACACGGCACTGGTGCGGCCCTGTGTGGGAGCCAGGGTGTCTCTGTCCAGCAGAAGGACCTGTGGCGGACTGGCATTTTGTGCCAAAACGCTCGCTTCGCCTTCCTGGAACCATCAGGTTGACTCCCTGGGGTCTCGCTAAGGCACTGATGCAAGTTCCGACAACGGATAAGGAGGCGCCTGGTGGTGCACGCCTGCTCCCCCCAACCCCACCCCGTGTTCTGGGAGGCTGGGGGTGGAGCAGGGGGTGTCCAAAAGTTGGAGCCCAGCCTGGGAAACTTAGCAAGATTCTGTCTCAAAATTAAAGGGAGACAAAACCCTTTACAAAGGGCCAGGGGGGTAGCTAAGAGTGCAGACCCTGGGTTCCATTCCAGTACCGAAAAATGACAGATGAGGAGGTATCTGGGGGAGAGAGGAGAAGAGGGGAGAGACACGGAGAGGTGGGAGGGTTACAGGAGGGCGGAGGGAAGAAGAAACTGCAGGCAGCCCTGAGGAAGAGGGGCGAGAGGAGGACGAGAAGAGGGGACGGAGGGGAGGACGCAGAGATGGCGAGGGTCAGGCAGAAGGGAAACAGATAAATGCAGGTGAAGAGCCCGACAGAGAGGGAGACCAGGCAGGCGGGCGGCGGGCGCAGCAGGCCTCTCCGGGGTCCCCCAGCGCCCCCGACGTCAACCCTGGAGGGAGCAGCGGAGGAGCCCGAGCTGGGAGCCGCCAGGCCACGGGGTCCGGGTGGCAAGTTCCCCAGGCCAGCACTGCCCCACAGGACCGTGGCTGTGGAGGTGCCCCTTGCAGGCCACAGGCCAAACAGTCATGTGGGCCCCGGTCGCCACGGAGGCTGTCACTGATGCCAGGGCTTGGTCCTAACAGTGAGGGTGACACACTCATCAAGGATCCTGCTGTCTGCCACAAACAATGTGGACGGGATGGGTCCTGCAGAAGGTGGCCCCGCTCCCCCAGACACCACTTTTGGGCCAGTGCCCCCAGGGCCTCCCACTGAAGACGACGTGGAAGCCGTGTGTGGAACCAGGCAGCCCCATAGCACCACAGAGCCAAGAGGCAGCGGGAAGGGGGTGAGCACGGGGAGCCAGGCGCTGGCCAGGGGTCCCCTCCCCACGGCTCTCACATCCTTCCCATTCTCCTCTGTCCCCAGCATGGGCAACGATGCAGCTTTCCTGGGCTCGATGGCACCCGGGGGGCCCCCCTCTGTGGCCAGAGTCTCCCTAGCATCTCCCTTGTCACTCACACATCCATCCCGCTCTGTCCTGCGATCGCGTTGATCTGTCTGACATCCTCTCTATCCTTCTAAAACTTTCGGTGGCTCCCTAGTTCCCTGAGAATATGTCTGAGGCTTCCTTCTTTGGCTAAGATGGCACGGGTGACCTGGATGGGGCCACCGCCCCATCCTCCCAGCCACAGTGCGTACATAGCTCCCACGTTCGTGCTCTGCCATGAGTGTGACCCCCTCCCACCCTGCACTCCTGCTCATCCCTCTGCACCCTGCTCGGGTTCTGCATCCCTGGGGAGCCTGCTCTGGCACCAGGGCTTGAATGAGTCACTGCTCCTCTGGGCTCTGGTGGCTCATTTGTTTATGGCTCAGTCTCCCCAAGGACCCACAGGGAGGGGAGAGGGTTGGGGGAGGGGGCTGCAGTAGGTGGTTGTGGGGCTTCCTGTTCTCCACCCCAGGGCGGCCAATGCCTACACATGTAGGGGTCTGCGCTGTGGCCAAGGTGGGTGGAGAGTGGGAGGGACAGGGAGCCCTGCGGGCAGGGGCTGGTGACAAGAAATGGGAGGACAGGGTTAGCAAGGAAACTCCCCTAACTGAAGGTCAAGGCTGCTCCCCGCCTGTTCAAAGGAGGGTGAGCTTCCTGTGGCCTGGGGTTTCCCAGGTGGTCCTTTGGGGCCGGGGAGAAGCAGCCCCTGGGGTGTTCTGCCCCTGGGTGGGCCTGCAGGGGCCTTCACTAGAGGACTCAGGAGCTCAGGGGTGTGCAGGGATCCAGGGCACTGAGGTACAGAGAGACCAGACAAGAGACTTCATAAAAGGCTGGGGAAGGGACGGGTGCCCACTCTTGTAAGGATCCAGAAGTCTAAGAATGGGGCTCAGGAAAGCCAAGAGCTGTCATTCCCAGCACTTGGGGAGATCTGTCTCAAGCCAGGAGATAGAGGGAAAGACACCAAACAGTCCTGACACCGCGCCCCCCAGATCCAGCTGTGCCTGAAACCCTCTCCTGGACTTCCCAGGCACCCAAACACTCCCAGCGTCACATCCTTTCCTGCTTCACTAGTTAGGGTTTTGCGTGGGTCATTTCTGACTGAAAGTCCCGACTACGACACACAGAATGCGTATTTTCTTTTCAAGGGAAGAGGTCATACGTTTATCAGACCCAAAAGACAAAATCAACAGGAAGTGACAAACTTCCTCGGTCAAAGTAAAGCGAAAGGCAGCATCTGTGGCTCATGCATTTCGCCTTCAGACAAAAGCCACTTCTCAGATATCCACGGAGGCGTTGGACAGTGGCGGGCACACAGTAGGAGCTCGGTGTGTGCACCGTGGCTCCTTTTCTCCAGGCAGCCCTGGTTTGCCCTTTTTTTCTTTTTTCTTTTTTTTTGAGGTGGGGTCTTCTCCCCATAGTCCAGGCTGGCCTTGAACTCACTATGTGGCCCTGGCTGGCCTCAAACTCATGGAGATCCTCCTGCCTCAGCCTCCTGCACACACCACCACAGGGCTGGCTTGTGGCTTTCTTATCCTGGGAGTTACACATTTCCCCTGGAGCTGGCTGCCTCTCTGGGGGCCTCAGCGAGGCGGATGGAGAAAGTGCTGGGTCACGTATTTACCCTACCTGCAGCAGGACGGTGCCCCCGGGGATCGTGAGCTGTAAACAGTACTTCGGGGCGTTCTCCCAGGAGAGCAGCTGCACGTCCTCAATGGCGCTGTAGGAGACCGAGTTCTCCATGTAGCCAGTGGGCTGCGGAGAGAGGAGACAGAGGACAGGGGCTCAGGTTAGGAGGGCAGACTACGCGGCACCTGCGTGGCCGAGGAGACCCCTGGAAACCTGGGATGAAGGGAGCCCCAGGGGCCCTGGCTGGGGCTGGAGCCGAGGGAGGGTTCTGGGGGGCGGCCCTCATCCTTCTCTCAGAGCTGCAGCAGGAGGCAGACCAGGGACAACACAGGATCAGGACTGGGGCTCAGTGTCCCTGCCGTCCACAGGCCCCGGCAGAGGATGCAGTCAGAATCCCGTGGTCCCTCATCGGACCGGACAAGGTCCTCCTTGTCCCCCAGACAAGCACCCAGCATTTAGCACCCACCGAGTTCCAAACACCAGGGCCTGGTTCACCTGCTCCACAACCCTCCAGGGCTCCCGGGGACCCGGGGACCAGGCACGACACCCATGCTCCCCACACCATCCCTGACGGGGCCTCAACCCCATCCTGCGCCCCTCCCCAAAGGCACCAACCCCACCTCTGGCCCCTCCTTCCCTGTGCGCCCCTGCTGGGACGCACAGTGGGGAGCTGCCCTGGGAGGACACAACTCAAAGCCCAAGGAGCTGGTTTCCCTTGGTGGTGCAGGACCCGCCCAGAGGTTTTCCCACTGCAACACTCGCCTGTGGAAACGGCGAGAAGGGGTGAGGGAGAGGGTTGTGCAGGTCCCACAGCACGAGGTGGCAAATTTGCCCTGCCCTGTTATGTCCCAGCCACCAAGGCAGGCAACCGATGTGCACACACCCACCCGAGGCCCAGGCCTGCTGTGTTCCTGGTCCCCCGCATGGTGATTCAGTCACAGGGTCGCCTCCTGAGCACCCCAGGACCCCGTGGGAACCTCATCCTCCTGTCCCCCAGGCCACAGTGGGCCTGGCACTCGGGGTGACTGTCATTTCCTGCTTCACAAATGAATGAACACCTTGCTAAAATAAAGCGCTTTCGTGTGAATTACCTACAGTCATGACCCGCCACAAACTAGAAGGCACCTCGTGTGCTGTTATTTTTAACTACATTTGAATTCGATCCTGAGGCACCGTAGGAGGCCTGGGGGCTCCTCTCACCCAGCTGGAGCCCCAGGCTTTTAAAACCAACAAATGCCAGAGACAGGCTGAGATATGGCCCCTGCGCATTTAGAAAATCACCCCGTCACCAAGAATCAGGGACAGAAAACCCCTCTCTAGCTGGGTGAGGTGGTGCACACCTGTAACCTCAGTACTCTAGGAGGCTCAGAAGTCACAGAAATAACGGGGGTGGCAAGGAGAGGGACTCGTGGAAGGAGGGTTTCTCGCGGCATCCAGGATCCACCACGGAGCCCAGCAGGACACACAAGTGTGACAAACACAACCTTGAGCCTCTCTCCGGAGCTCCGACTCCCCAGTCTAACCCTGAGCAACGCCACAGAACACACCCTCATGATCCCCAACTCAAGAACCATCCCAGGGCCTGTCCAGCCAGATGGGGACGGAAATGTCACAGGGACCCAGGACAGAAACAGCGCGTGAGCCGAACCAAGCCAGGGAAGCTGGCGTGGATGTCCAGAGCAAGACGCCGGTCAGTAAGGTCACTCTGTGCCTTGCCTGCTGCTGGTGATCAAGAGGCCGGGGAGGAGACAGGCAGGAACCCTGTCTTATCTGGGTCACTGTTCCGTACATCTGCCACTGTGGTAAGACAAATGTTAATTAAGAAAACGCCAACCTGGGTACGGTGGTGCCTGCCAATAATTCCAGTCCTCTGGGAGGCTGAGGTAGGCAGATTGCAAATTCCAGTCCAGCCTGAAAAATTTAGTGAGCCCCTGTCTCAAACATAAATAAATAATTGAATGAATAAATACGGGCTGGAGATACAGCCCAGTGCAAAGGCCCTGCGTTCAACTCTCAGTGCAAAAACCAAACCTAGGCACAGTGACAATGAACCCTCCCTCTGCTGTGGCCCACAATGCCATCACTACTGGGCAGGAAAATAGGGTGAAGCAGACACCTCCCCTCCACAGCGTGGCTAGACCCAGGCACACCCAGAGCTGGTGATTCCCTGGTGACCAGAACAGGCACCAAGTGCATCAGAGGAGAGACCCCTGCATGGGACAGGCAGCTGAGCAGATCACAGGAGCGATCGGCGTCTCCTCCCCGAGCCACCCAAGAACCCAGCTCCTGTGCGTTGTTAAAATGAGCAGAAATTACAAATGTCTCCAAAGGTAAGAGCAGACTGTGCCGCTCTGTGTAAATGCCATCCTGAGAAAGGATGGGGCCCAATCAGATCGCGACTGCCAGCCGCCGGGGGTGGCCAGGGGGGCCGACTCCCCAAGACAGGCAGGGCCCTCCCCTCCTGGCGTAGTGGCGGCTCTGACTGCACGCGGCTGTCAAAACTCCCCGCTCTGCGCACCGAGTGGGGGGATCTGACTATGTAAATTGCCACCCCAACCTGACTAAAAAAGGCAATGCGTGGATTCTGACGATGATTTGGAAAGTGATGAATAGAACATCAAATTTTCAGAAAAAAACCAACTGTCTTGAGGTCCCGGGTGAGCGCCTTGACGCAGCGCCTTCCCGGCTTTAAAACCGATCCTGAGGGGCTGGGGATTTAGCTCAGCGGCATAAGACTGCCTTGCAAGCGGGCAGTCTTGAGTTCGATCCCTGGTACCAATACTAACAAAAAAGACAAAAAGAAAAAAGGTAAAAAAACCGATCCTGAATCGCACACCTCAAAACACAAGGAGGAGGAAAGAACAGAGACCCCAGGGGCAGGCAGGGAGGTAGACTGGTGCAGAAGAGACCGGGACAGACGGACGGGGACAGGAGCCGGCGCAGGCAAGGGCTGGGTGGGGAAGGGACGCGGACGGGGATGTGCCTGAACGGAGGCCCCATGAGGAACGTGGTGCGCTGGGGGAGATCAGGAGCTGCTGCTGATCGTACCACGCACGACTGGGTGACGCATTTGCTAGTGGTGTCCGGGGCGCCCCGAATTCTGCACAGGGGTCCCGGGCTGCAGAATTTTCTGCGGCTGTTTATTTGGTCTCTCCCCAGCCCCCGCCGCGCCGTGTTTGGGCGCACGCTACTATAAACAACTCTGCAGCGAACATCCTTGTGAAACATGGTTTTCTACCCTATATTTAGGGTTATTTCCTTAGGCTTCATTCCCAGAATTGGAATTACTGGGACACAGGGTAAGAGCATATTTTACACTATTGCCAAATTGCCCTCATTACAGAGATATTACAGGGAACTGGGAGCCCTGGCCAGCGAGGGGCCGGCCGGCGTCCTTGGCTGTCAGCGTGAATGGGTCCTGCTCGAGGTCATGCTCAAACCAGGCAGCCCTGGAGTGGACACTGGGCACCAGAACTGGCCGCCTTGTGTGGGCCTTGTAGGTACTGGTGCCCACCAGCTGGGGACACTGCCTTCCGGCAGAAGTCAACACAGGCCAGGGTCCCACTTTGGTCCCTCTGCTCTGGCTAAGTTAGGGTAGGGGTGTCCAGTGCTTGCCAGGCCTCGAAGGGAATGCTCCTGACCCTGCTCCAGGATGAGCTGGCCAGGTGGCCTTCAACTGCTGGCTTGGAACTGGAGCAGGCCAGGGCTGCAGGGACCTTCAGAGGGTCCTCTGGTACCCCAAAGGCCTTTTGATCTGACTCCCCAAACTGGGTACCTCTTCAGACTCCCCATCTGTCGCAGATAGCCAGGATGGAGGACTTGCCCCTCCCAATCGAGCCCCCCAACCCCGATGCTTGCTACCAGGCCCCAGCTTTTGCCTCTCAGCCTTGTGGGGGGTGGCTCCCTCTCACCCAAGCCTGTCTGCCGTTTCCATGGGGATCTCTGCAGCCAAGTGTGAATCATGGCTCCGACGCCCCCCAAGACGGGGCTGATTCAAGCACACATCCTAGTCTGGGGATGAGGTGGGGGCTCCTGGATCCCAAAAGGAGAAGCCATCTGGAAAGTCCCTGCATGAGCTCTTTAGAGGCTGGGGCCATAAGAGGCCAGAAACTCCTTCCCATCTAGGGACTGTTTAGAACAAGCAGGGTGTCAAGGGTGGCCCTGGCAGCTGGCTGAGTGGGCCATCACTGGGCCGAGCGCCCTCTCCAGGTGTGACAGTCCTCTGAGTCACCAGGTGGGGAGACCACGTGGCACAGTGGGTCCCCATGGCAGGCTTTGGTCCTCGATAAAACCCAGACAAGATGCATGCACCCTGCTAACTGTTCACGCCGTGCAAACGGACGGCTCAGGACGCTTGGCAGCTACCCCAAAGGACACCCCACACTTATTCATCCCTCCCAGTGCCCCCAGCCCTGCCTCTACACTGCAACCTTGTGTCTCTACACATCCACCTGTCCTGGACTTGTCAAAGAGTGGAATCAATTGGCACATGGTCCTCAAGGCTTTGCCCAGGGTGACAAGCCGTGTCGGAAATCAGCACACCTGAATCTCATGCTGGCATGATGCTGCCCTGTGCTTACTCCCCCACCCCTGCAGGGCCCTGGAGACTGACTGCTGGGAAGCACCTGCCAGTGTCTTTTGGAACATGAAAGGGTCACCTGCTTGCCAAGGCCACCACTCCCTGCCCCGCCATGCAAAAGGTCAGGTGCCTGGGTGCGTGCTTGAGCCAATCCCATCATTCAGCCACACAGCCAGTGCAGGGAGCTCAGGTCCAGGCCCAGTGACCTCTGAGGTCTCTTACATCCCCTCTCCCTATGTCCACGAACCCAAGCAAGAGTCTGGCCCTTTCCTGTGGCCCAGGGCCACACTCCTGTCGCAGCCTGTGAAACCAGCCGGCCATGCCTGTCGGAACTGAGTGTGGCGTTAAAAGTTAATGTCGGCGGTGAGGAAATCCCGGGGAGAAAAACACGTCTACCCGTGTCTGCTGCCATCTCTCTTCTCTTTGTGCCACAAGTAAGCCTGGATCCTCGCTGGCCAGGGTTACCTCTGAGGGTGACGGAGGACCCCTCCCACATCTGCCCAGCCTGACGCTCGGATGCCCCTAGGCTGCCAGGCTCTTCAGAAGT